ATGAAGAATACTAATAACAATAGCTACTAATAACAATAGCCAAAAAATAACAGTAGTAGTAGTAGTAGTAGTAGTAGTAGTAGTAGTAGTAGTAGTACTACTACTACTACTCCTTCTGCTACACCTGCTGGTGTTACAACTTTTCTGCTTGTGCTGGCAGCAATCTTTCTATGGACTGGAGCGCTGCTATTCTTGAAGACAATCTTTAGGGTCAATATCAATGGTAATAATAGTACTAAGAGTAATATTCATAAGAATAACAGGAATAGGTATGAATAGTAGCAATAGTAATGGCAACGATGTGGAGTTGAGGGACAATTCGTGCGCACGCCCGTCGCTCAGGCAGATTCGATTTCGGACTCCCTCTTCTCAGTGCTCTGGGTGGCATCCCTGCACCTTGCTCATGAAGAGTCGAGAAGCTCAGCATGGGTGGTTTGGGCTTTCTGGATGGTTTTTCTAGAATGGCGCGTGCTGTTATATCATGGTGCTCGAGGGTATAGCTTTCTATAAGACACATGCTGAAGCTGGTCAAAACTGCCTTCCTGCGTTGTTTTGAAAATGCTTGGCATTTGGGGCTCAGCCAGATGAACCTCAAACCTTAGGGAGGCTCAACCACTTAAGCGGCCGTCACACGTCAACTTCCAGTACTCGAAAGCAGAGGCACTGCTCATCCTCTGGGCTTGGCAGCCTCTTGCATGTCACAGACATCTTTAACTCGCCGACAAGCATGAAGAACAGAAGGAACAACCTCAGCCATCACTAGGACCCGGATGGCGATTGAGCTGTGAGCATCGCTGTAGATTCTTCTCACCCCCCACCTCTTGCTACCAAACTTCAGCTGGCGAACATGCCTTGCCTTGTCTCATGAGCGTATCTGACAAAATCAACTGTGACACTTGTCTGTGCAAGCATGGGCTATGCCCGAATCAGTGCTTGCACCCTGGCCCACGCTTCCAAAGCCACGCTTGCCGGAGTGGATTTGAGCAAATCCATCTCAGGCCTGTCCTTTGAAATCCGAACATTCAATGCACCCCAACAAAGTCCCAACATTCCCATGAACAGCAATCCTTAGCCCACTTCTTGCTTATTGGCCCCAGCTCTAACCCAAGATTACAGCCCGAAACATTGAGACTTAGCAGTTCACCCAGCAAGTCCTAAATCACGCCCAGCTATAACTTCAAACCCAATCCCCAACTCAAGAATACAGTGCAACAACCTTCTGCTGCCACCTTGACTCACTTTCCTGTGTTTTGGCTGTCGAGGTTCACCCCAGATCAGACCCTCAATCGAAAACAAGACACGCCAAGCAGCACAAGGCCCAAGACCTCCAAGAGACCAAGGACTGCCACTGCGGTGGGGCCATCAACAGCATCCCTTGGGCAGCGTTACCGAATGAAGCGTTTGAGCTCCCAACAAGCTTTGCAAGAAGTCGCGCAGGTTTCGGAAAGACACTGGCTGAGCAAAACGTTCAACTACTGCAAACCTGATGCTACCTAGGCAATAACGCTTCCTGTTCTAAAGCCGAACAGCCTACCAAAGAGCTAGAAAAAAACCTAGACATCAAGACGGCCTTACAAAAACGGCACTTGCCACACAAGTGCCACGGCTATGACTATGCAAGCACTGAAATGATAGACTGTGACCCGAATAGTACTTTACTGTTTCGCATCCCCATTAACAACTGAAAGGTAGCGCTTGAGGCTCGCATGCTCAGAGCAGGATTGTTCCGATCAAGCTGCTTCACCGCACCAAAGAGAGGAGGGCCGATGATGCCGCTGATGCTCCTGAACATGAAATGGGGATGCATCTTGCAAAAGGTGGAAGGGAGAACTTGCAACTGTGTTTCCAGAATTTTGGACGCCTTCAATTTGGCATGTCCAGAATAAGCTTCTAGGTAATGAGACATTGAAAGGAGTTAGGAATCAGTCCGTGAAATAAAGAGCGCTCCAAAGGCTGCAAAGCAACTCAGAAGCTGATAAAAAGCTGATGACACGAGGAGTACTCGAGTGGGTGATACCTGACCAGACCACTTATAGAATATTATAGTACATTATTGTCTTCTGGTGTATTCTGGTAACTTAAGCGCCCATCCTTCCCTGAAATACGTTCCCACGATCTTCATCAAGGTCCTACTCAGGCCAATAGCGTGACATCTGTTTGGATCCTGTGGCCTGACGATCATGGCAAATGGACGCGCTAGCACGAGATGATACGATTGATCAGGAGATTCCCTCCTGCATTGTGCACAAAGCATGCTATATGTTTAATGTAACCCATGATGAATAAACTCCCTCATTCTACGGGCCTTAATATTAGGATCCCTATTATTTTCCCTATTCATGGGAGGGGGTTACTGATAAGGGGTCTACATTATGGGCTTCATTGAATCAGGACTCTGGATTGCTCTAAGGGAACTGACTCTAGAATACAACGAAAATAATCCCAAGGATGAACATAATGGCGGAGTCTGCTTCAGGTCCGGAATCCCAAGCTACCGTGCTGGCGAGAGTCTTGATGGAGTTGAGGATGGAGTATGACTCCGCGGACCTTCAAATGCAACGAGCAGCATTGGAGCGGAGACACCTACTTGAAACCCCACCTCATACCTTAGGAGGACCCCCCACCCTGTAATAGTGGTATAGTAAGGATATAGGAGGACCCTAGTACAGGCATTATTACCTCCTATAGTCAGTATTACTGGGCGGGGGGTCCACCTAAATCATACTGAACAAGGCCGTTGAATAAAACCGCAGCACGCTCTTGTTTAATCTTGGGACCTTGAGCCTTCGGTCCCATCAAGCCTTCCTGCTTGGTCACCTGCTTGCTGCAAACAACAGGCTTGGGGTGGTGAACCTCACGTGCCATCACCCCATGATCCAGCTACATCTCATGCCTGCCAGACTTCCTAACAAGTTGGCCTTCTTCTCTGGTGATTGGTAACATCTTGGTCAAACTCCTTTTCATTTAGAGCGTTTGTGACCATGATGAAGCCAAGATGCTCAGAGCAGTAGGCTGAGGGCATCGTGTCCAGCGGAATATACCTTTGTAAGCTTGCGCCATTTTTACTCATCAATCCCTAGCCAGGGATCCTAGAAGGCACTATCAGAGACTATACCTTGAGCTGAACATCCTCATGGCACCTTCATGGTTTCATGATTCGTCCGCAGATCGCGAACCTACAGGGATTGTGAGGACTATGATCTCGTAAGTCCGCCTTCGAGATTCCTGTTGAGGTTCCTAACTTCAAGCTCAGGCCATGTTTACAGGTTCTTCAGAATGGTAGATATCCAGTGCAACTTCAGCAGGTTGAGAGCACTCTGGCTGAAACGGACAATGAGGAGGGCAACTGCAGTGTGCGAATTTTGAATCTCATGACCAATGAGTGCAACTCCTTTACTGGCTGCAGGCTTCAACCGTTTCTTGCTCCTGCAAGTCAGTTCTTAGTTGCATCATCTACGGGACTGCCACTCAATCCACAAGATAATAAAGCGCCCTGGACAGAGCAAGAACGATCCGAATGATGGTGCAGCCTTCTGAAAGGTCCAAGCGTCACTGCTGCAGCAATGCCGTAGAGTATGCAGACTTGTGTCAAGGCAGCGGCCGCGGAACACTTTTCCTGATTCCAACACAAAGCAAAGCCACCTACGCGAAGCAGACCTGCCAGAGGAAATGCATTGCAGTTTCACGTTTTTCCACGAGGGAATGCGGAGTGAACGGACGAAAACATCTGTGGCGGTAGCAGGCTACAGGCTGACTTCAGGATCAACCTATGAGACTTGACGTGTGCGATATTTGGGACTTGAGGCTTGACGAAGGAGACTTGACAAATAGTGGATGATAGAAGGCTGGTCTGTTCCGCTGAACTTTCGAGGAGAACCCGGAAGCTAGGGTTTCTGTTTTGTAAACGAGAGTTTGGAGAGGTCCTGCGGTTACCGTTGTTGAGGAATCCAAACACATGGATTTCCCCAAGCTAGGGGTACCTTTCTGGGGATCCCGAAAATGAGGATTACAATCATTTGGGGTCTATGTTGGGGTTCGCTTGTTGTGGGAGACTACCACATAGACGAAGCAACGGCGGAAAGGCCGAGCCTGTGCTTGGCGCGTCGTCTCAATACATTAGGTATGGTTTAGAGTTTAGGGTCTGGGATTAAGGTGGTTTAAAAGGGCATATATTGGGATTATATACGGATACTGGAAAAGAAAATGGAAGCTACAATTTAGGGTTAGGGTTGAGGGCTTAGGGAATACTACCCCCATAAATCTCAGATACCCCAGTAATGGATATAGGGGTTGAATTGGGATAATGGAAAAGAACATGGAAGCTACTATTTAGGGTTTAGGGCTTGATTAGCGCTTAGTACATTACTGCAGCAGAAGCTGCGCCCTCCAAAATGACTAAATGTTGTCTCACCCTGTTTGACCCTTGACATATTACTGCTGTGTTTCTTGAAGAAGCCAAGAACTCGTTTCTGTTCCGAGCAGAAGCACAACATTCCAAATGGCTCACTGCAAGAACCTTTCTCAAGCCAAATTCAACGGAAAGTGAGATTAAGCCGAAGCTTCCAGACCAATACACTCCTGGTAGTCGCATGCAACCAACTGAGCTATCCTTACCCAGAATTGCATTCTTGGATTGCACCACACATTCCCAAAATCATAGGCAAGGAAACGACTGCTTCCCCCTTACCGCACACAATCAAGGCTGACAAATGCAAAAGAAAGCTTGCTCGTGGACATTTTATGAATGGTCGAAAGAGGGTCCCCCAGATTTTCCAAACATCCGAAATTCGTGAAGCATCCCAGAAAAGCTAGGCCAAGCTGGTAGAGACAATCCCTAGGAAGAAAACAATCCTGAACAATCATCCAACTTAGACATGGCTCATAGGCCAACGGGAAAGTAATGGCCAGAAGTGCTGCCAGGATCATGCCGGCCGCGCCGTGGTAGAACCTGTTAAGTTGAGATGAATACTGGGCGTACAGCGACTACTTTGCAATCATCTTTTCTTGTCTGTTGGCGTCTCGGGAATGCAACATCTGAAAGCCCCCTACTTCCTGCTCAGCAACCGTGCTAGCACTTTGAAGAGACAATTTCACAGCTTACCTCAATTAGGGGTTACCAATCAAAGAACGGTGACGGTGCGTCAAAGACGTTGAAGGTCCACACTAGAATAAGGGTTCGGGAGCATCTAAAGATACCGCATGGCTTTGGACTGCTTGCAGGGCGGCGCATCGGTGCTGACATGTTAAAAAAAGACCCGGACTGGATATCACACTCATCTTAAAAATACTGGGCTCAGGAGCCCTTTCCTGGGCAAAGTCTCACTGAAATCCTGCCACCTGTTGGAAACCTCTCTGCTCTACCAATCCTCAGACCAGGCAGCCGCTCAGAGAAAAACTTGATGCTGCGACCAGCAGCAAGCATCAGCAAAGCCGCGCACAAATACGGAAGGCCTTGCAGCTTGGAGCAGTCAGTTGCAGCTTAAGGTGCGCATGGGGCGTGAGCGGAAGGCAATTACACTATATTGGGGTCCATGTTGGAACCCACTGTTTATGAAAAGTCTCGACTTCTGTGGAGGGGATGTCTGGCTTTGCTTGCATGCAACCTTTTTCGGGGCAGACCTTTGGCAAGCACGGGTCCCTCGAGACTAGTAGCCTACTGCACCTTGAAGTTCTTTGCTGTAGTGCCAGGGGGCTGTTTGAGAATACTAGTTGGAAAGCTGGAGGCAGCTCAAACAAACAGAAATTGTCGGACTCATTTGGCATGTGCTTTCATGCGTTCTGCTGGTGTTGCACACACACGACGAGACACCATTCAGCGCATCGACCGACCACTGAGACACAGATGGGCCCATGATTTGGTGGATCAGCTCCGGAGAGAAAAACCTGGGCTATGTGAATTCCTCTTTGCAAAAAGCTGTGCCCAAGGACCCAAGACAGATGTCCAGCTGGCACAAGTTTTGGAGATATTTAGCCGTTCAGCACTTGCAGAACAGTATGCAAATAATCAGAGAAAAATGAGCAGAAGGTGCCACGTCAGAACCAAGGAGCATGAAGGCGTAGACCGGGGTGGCAATTAGCAACTCTACAATGCCCAGGTACCAGGCCTCCAGGCATCATTTTTAGAATCGGTCCTTAGCCTGTTCTTGCAATGCCTGAAGCTGTTACTGTCATGTAGGTCATTACCCCTGATGCGCTCACGGATCTCATCACTATGAGCTGTGGTGTTGATTTCTGACCCCAGTGTTGTATGTCGGTTCATGTGATGCGAAGAAAAGATCATTGTGGGGTGCTGACTCTGGTCGCTCGTTCAAAGCACTGCGTTCGCAAGGCGTTTTGGGATGGGTGAGGTGAGCTTTTGTAAGAACACTCAAGTCAGCTTGCAAAAGCCAAGTTGCTTTTCTTGCCTAGCTTAAACGGGAAGCTGTCATGGATCCGGCGGCGCTTGGCTTCAGGACATAGCTACTTGTTCTCAAACGCAAGCAGAGAGATAATAAACGAATCTGCCCTTCGGGCTGCAAAGCTCCCCAAAAGTGTACCCCTCAACTGGTGCAAATGCCTCAGAAAACTCGCCTAACCCAAATAGCATAGACGCACCCGCAAGCCAGAACCAAGTCCGAATCACCAGCCTTCCAATCTGAGAAGCCCCCGTTGAACGCTGCACCTCGCGGTGGGGATGGGGCTTGCGAGGGAGAGTTGGTGCTAACTGCAGCTTCGCACAGTGCGTTCCATTTAATTGACAGCAGGATCAATAATCTCCCCAGCGCACTGCGTAATTTTCAAATTCTCGGGTGCTACGCCTGAAGAGAACTCTTGCGTGCAGGTATTACAAGACACTCTCGCGATCGAGAAAGTGCAAAATGGCACGCGAGTGCAGCAAGAGCGCGATTTGGGCGAGCAGGAGCTTTCCATAATGTGAGAGTTCACAGGTGGCAGCAATTCCTCAAACTTGTCGTTGCAGCTGCACTTTGCGATTTTGCTGATGCATTCCGCTCGCTAGCAATCCAACTTGCAATTCGGCTCGAGGGCAGGCTGTTCTCAGCTCTCTGAGAACCAAGACCTGCTGCTTACCTAAACTCTGCCATGTCACAAAAAAGAGCTTACTACTCGAGAAACTACGACCCTTGCTGAAAAGGCGCGCCTAGTAAGGCTAGCCATCGCAAGCTTCAAACACAAAATGCCGCTAGCAACATGCAGCTATGACTCACTGATGCAATGGTGCCAGGAGACATCTGCCGCGTGCGGGTTGCTCCGGTTTCGCTGCCGCAGGGTGCATCGAGTTTCCTCTTGCATTCGCCAAAGCCTTAGCTTTATTGGGCAGGTACAATGTCAGTAAAACTGGAAGAGGAGGTTGTGGCTGCAAATCTGAGTCTGGACTACGAGTCTGGGAGAAACACGTGCAGCCGCAGCCAGCGCTTCGTCAAATATCACCAGCATCACTTTTTGGGGTTGACAGCTTCTCACAAGTAACTCGATGATTCATATGGCATTCCAGTAATTTAGAAGAACACTCCGGAGAGTCTGCTTGGGCGTCACCGCTGCAGAGTCATCATCGTGTTGCAATAGATGCATATCTTCTTTTGCCATCGTAAAATTTGCAAATTTTTCCCATTTCGGTGCACATGAAACCTACATCCTGAGTTTGAAGCACGAGACCAAGGAGTCTATTGACTAGGTCACGGAGCGATTTTCTCCGTAGTGCTGAGCATGGGAAGGTTGCTGAAGTCGTCCAGAAGACAGAAATACCTTAGTGCCCAGCTGTTGGATTTGGACAGTTTCCGAGGAGGCTCCAATGAAAAGTGGCGAGGCCAGTAAGATTCAATTCGCCGTTTTGAAAAAGCTTTACGGTTCTAATTTTTTTTGGAATCCATTGCCCTCAAACCCGGAAGTATCAAGCTGCACGTCTCACTCTAAGCCTTGTGCCCTCTAAACAAAAGCCAATTGCACCGTGGGCAATCTCAAAAACCCGAGCCATCAAAGCCTCAGCCTGGGCACTTGAAGTTTAAGGCCAAGAAATGCCAAGTTTATCCAACCAGTTTGAGCCATAATTGTACCGAAGGTCCCCGCAAGAACTCCAGTCGGACAATCCCCAAAACGAATGACCGCATGGGGAGTGAACCTGTCTGCGCAATAACACTCAAGCTGAGATACACGACCGCGGCAGTCAGCAGTGCCAGGAAGCCTTCCTTATCAAAAGCAGCACAATCGCTATCATTAACATGCTTGTCTCTGTTTGGGCATGGCAGGATGGGGTTCTGCTAAGGGCTAAGGGAAATTGTCAAACGGCAGCCAATATTCAGGTACAACCCGGTATGACAGTACAGAAAAGAAGGTGCTCATATCCCGTACTGCGCACATCCCCTATCAAGGCCTATCCTCCATATACGCTCATAATGTAAGCACCATGCTAAGTGGCAATGGTTATTGAGGTCCTATCCCCTGTCAGGAGCACTGCCCCCCAAAGAAAAAACATCTAGGTTTTTGTCAGGCTCATGAAATATCTGGACTGTTTCGAAGAGATGCATGCTGATTTCCATATCGACAAACGACACTTGAGGGCCTAAGTCACAGAAGCTTGGACATGGTTCCAAAGCAGAATCTGTTCACTACCACTCCAACCGGACAAGGTTAGTGGAGTCCTTCTCATCCCAGTGTGAGATCCCCACATTCAAAAATGCAATGCCCGTAAAGCACGGCTGGCCGCTCAAGTAGTCATAGGCTTCCTAGCTGGTTTTAAAGCGCCTAAACCCTGAAACCGCAAACCATCAAAACCCGTGAACAGTTAAAACCTGGACTTTCGCTAGAGGCGGCAGTCTGTGCATCGCTGCGGTCATCAAGTCACGTTACTTCCCAAACCCCGCACTTGCATCCAAAGCTAAGACTCTGATGCATGCTCTATGGATATATACTGCCTTGGCTCCTCAATCCAACACAAAGTGGAAGATCCCTCCTTTGTCATATTTATGATAGCAACAGCAGGTGAGCGTTCCAAGGGTCGGCAACGAAAAGCCACTCCCAGTGCTGGTTCACAAAAGCAGTCGTCGGCAGCTGAATGAGTCCTGAAACGGAGGACAGAGAACAAGGTAGACTGTAACAGTCTACAGAACTGAAGGTGAGACCTTCCAATTGCAAAAACAACTTCACCACCTCGACAAGAAATATTCCTGAAATTCAAAGGTCCAAGCACCAGACCTACGCTGTAAAGAAGGCCATATCAACAGCTCAACGCCCGAAGCGGTGAAATCAGGCTCGGCAGATCACCAACTCAATGTGAAATCCCTTGAGCTTTGGCTCAACGATTGCTTGAAGCGCTACATCCGCTCCTGCGGCAAGTGGGCCTGAAACGATGCTGGCAGCCTCCAGTTGATATATGAAGGATTTTGCTTTGGTGAAATCTAAGGTTTCCAGGAGTGCGCCGCTTAGAGTTTCTTCTTTATTCTAGCAGACCGCTGCGGAATCTTGTCCTTCATTGATCAAAGGGATCTTGAACCAAAGGGGAACTTAAGACCCATGTCCACGGAGTTGCTAACGACTTGCAGCAGATTTGCGGAAACGGTGATTGCTAGGTGGTCTTCTTGGGACAAAAAGGCACGAATGAAGTGCATGGACTTTTCTCAGTGTCTGAAAGCAACATGCGTGATGTCAAGTCGTTTCCATATCCTGAGTATGGCTTACATGATTAATTGAATCCTGTTTCTACTGCTGCGGCCCCTTAAGTGCAAATTCCACTGCTGCTACGGTGATACAGTACAGCTACACTAGAAAATGCATCGTTGCACTCATCATCATCATCATCATCACCATTACGTAGCGCTATGCTCACCACTGCATCTGTCATCAGCAATACTCTTACTTTAACTTTTGGGCGATGCTGCAGCGAAGCTGGTGCTGGGCTGCCGGTTGCTGCAAAAGGAATGGTGGCAGCAGCAGCAGCAGTAGCAGCACCGGGCACCAGTAGCAGCAGTAGTAGTAGTAGTGGTGGTGGTAGTAGTAGTAGTAGTAGTACTACTACTACTAGTAGTCGTAATAGTAGTAATAATGGTAGGTAATGGTTCTACGTAGTACGTAGTACGACTTCAGCCTCCCTTATCATGTGAGATCAAAGCATTGCCTGCGAGGCAGCTATCACGACTGACCAGCTCTGGGACACCTCCTGAGGGGTCTGAACGAATTGCCGACAGCGGATTGCGGGCGTCATGACATACCTATCGTCTACAATATACTATAAAATACTGAATCTTTCTACATTAGTCTATATTAAACTGAACTATACTACAATATACTATAATATCGTGACATACCTATGAGTGTAATCGGAACCTTCAGTCCCTGCAGCATCCTTTAGATGCCCAAGCCACTCCCCCAAACCCCAGATCAATAACAGTAACACTCATGCCTCAATATTGTGCTTCTAGCACCGCAATG